ATGAGACTTGGATTAAACTGCACAAATTGAGAGTTTGTAAATTAATGTTTCAGTACAGCGCTGTTGTTAAAAGCAGTCACCCATGACTTCCAATTCATCAAGAATTATCTCTATTTTTGGATCACTGTGGAGGCATGTGAGAAAAACAAAGTTTTATTCACGAATTCAGCACAACACAGGGTGAATAATTACTACACAAATGGTCATGGGGTGAAGTATCCAGACACCACAGGTCAAAATGCCAGTTTTGATCGAACCGGTCCGTTGTGAGATATCCTGTTTCTCTCCTTTTATTTCAAACGTTGTACAAAAGCAAGATTCAAAAATACACTGCTCAAAAAAAATGAAGGGCCAGGCTTTGTCCTGCACCAGGAGGAACCCAGGGCCCACTGCACCAACGTAAGGTCTGACAATCGCTCTGAGGATTTCATCCCGGTACCAAACAGCAGTCAGGGTACTGTTGGCTATGACATGGAGGTCTGTGTGACCCTCCAAGGATATATGCCTCGCTAGGCCACCACTGACCCGCAGCCAAACTGGTCATGTTGGATGATGTTACAGGCAGCATAAAATGTGAACCTGCTCTCATCTGTGAAGAGAACAGGGCGCCAATGGCGGACCTGCCAATTCTGGTTTTCTCTGGCGAATGCGTGTCGGGCTGCACGGTGCTGGGATGTGAACACAGGTCCCACTAGAGGACGTCAGGCCCTCACGCCACCCTGCTGGGTTGATGCCCTTCTACAGCCCTGTCCAGCTCTCTCGGTGTAACGGCTGGTCTCCTGGTGTCTCCTCCATGCTCTTGACACTGTGCTGGGAGACACAGCAAACCTTCTTGCGACCGCACGTATGGATGTGCCATCCTGGAGGAGCTGGACTACCTGTGCAACCTGACTGGGCTGCAGGTACCGCCTCATGCTACCAGTAGTGACAAGGACACTAGCAGAACACAAAACTAAAGAAGAATCAGTCAGGAGGGAGAAGGGGAGAGCAACTGTCTGTGGCCACCACATGTAAAACCATTCCCTTTTTAGGGATTGTCTTGCTTTGTCCTCTCAGTTGCACCTGTTGTCACTTTCATTTGCACAAAAGCAGCTGAAACTGATTCACAATCACTTGTGCTTCCTAAATGGACAGATTGATATGCCTGAAGTTTAACTGGCTTGGTGTTACACTGTGACGGTGACGATTAAGCGTTCCCTTCATTTTCTTTTTTGAGCAGTGTAGAACAGATAATTTAGTACCAAATGTACCCACATTGCAACTAAATTTACATAGCGTTTCTTCATCACTAAAATTTTTAAAATATCTTTTGCAGTTTTAATAAAATATTTAAAGTGACATCACAGGGCTGAAAATAACATCCTTTTAAACCAACTTTAATGTGTTTGTCTGAGAATTAGTCAAATCTGTTAAAAGGACCAAAAGACAAGCAGCTTTTTATTTGAGTGCTGTAATGTCCTACATACACACACCACACCACACACACACATTTCAGTCTAACACCTCACCAATATCTGACACACCAGTGTCATCATGACCCCACTAATGTTGCGATTAAAACTTGGCTGCATTCAGCCATGACAAAACATAGAAAAATGTTTGTTTGAACAAAAACAGTGGTGCATTGAACACCCTGTTGATTTATACAGTCACAATGCCTTTTAATACTGCTGGGTTTAACCTAACTCACTTCAGCTAAAAGGGACTTTATTGTATCATATGTTTAGATTGCCAATGCAATTGTAAAATTTAAAGCAGAAATTATACAATAAGTGAAGTTCTACCAGAATTCAATTTACATACACATCACTGACACACCTCCTAAATGTGGACAAACGCACCTCTTCACACAGTTTTAAAGAAAAATGTCATTCAACCTGGAAAATGAGGCAAAACACTGCCCTCTGTTTTCAGATTGTTTTGGTGTGAGTGTTGGAAATAGACGGTAGAGATATCTGCCTTTGCTTTAATATAATGGAACTAGATGGCACTCAGCTTGTGGTGCTCAGGTGACAAAAAATACATTTAAAAAAAACCTCAACAGCAATGTCTCTTTACAGAAATCATGATCCAGTTACTCAAGATAATCCACAGACCTTGTTGTGAGCAGTTTCATGTAAGAAGTATTTTCTACCTTACCACTCCCACCAACTGCATCAGACCACAGAAGGAAGTGTGCATCTACTGCTAGCTCACCTAGCACCACTGAGTTAGCTAATGTTACAGCTCAGCCGAGGAGGACGCCATATATGTTTACATCTCACACTGTCATGAGCAGGAGCCTCTTGTCCACGAGTAGATGCACGCTTCCCTCTGTGCTGTGATACCATTGGTGGGTGTAGGTCAGTAGAAAGAAAATAGTTCCGACATGAAACTGCTCACAACAAGGTCTGTGGATTATCCTGAGTAACCAGGTCATGATTTCTGTAAAGAGACATTGCTGTTGAGTGTTTCAAATGTATTTTTTGACGCCTTGAGCACCACAAGCTGAGTGCCAGCTAGATCCATTATATCTGAGAGAAGGCAAACATCTCTACGGCTGATATCTCCAACAACTCACACCAAAACAATCTACATTAACAAATAGCATGTAAGGTCAGCCACAAAATAAGTATGATGTATGATTTTGAGGTAAACTGTCCTACAGACAAAATAGCAGACTACACATTGCAACTTCATTGTATGCCCCTCATGAACACCTACACTAGAATAATCACAGCCAGTCTCAGGTTTTCTGTGCAAGTCAAGGTGATAGAAAATTGATTTTAAATGCAATTCACCAAACAAATAAACAGTTAGTTATATGACAAATCAAAGCACAATGAATTTGGAGGTCTATGACACCAAAGCAGTTTGTAATACAGTTTTATCCCACTACAGCTTTAAAAAAGTGACCTAGTTACCCTTTATCTTCATTTTTTAATAAAATGTAGTGGGTGTCATATTATGGTATATTTGAAGAGGAATTCCAGTTTTAATCATTTAATTTACCATCTAGCCTCAGCACTGTGAAGGCTTTATGTGTTGCATTGTGTGTGAGGCAATGCACAGTCAGATGCGCTGTTTTACTTGCTCACCTTTATTACTTAGTGCAAGGCATTCATCCTGGGGCTTGATCAGTCGGACTGTGTTGTAGACTTTATTCCCGTCCACACTCCTCTGCACTCTGGAGGACTTCTTATACACCTCCGTCAGATATTTCATGTACTTGTGCTCAGGTTTCATCTTTTTCCTTAGTCCTGGGCTCCACCTCGACCCTCCGTGCTCTGACAGGGCTTTGAGCAGCGGGGAGAAGATGCTGCTGTAAGGGTAGGTGAAGTCGCCCAGGTTGTGCAGCGCATTGGAGGCAGCCAGGGAGGATCTGAAAAGCGGGCAGCTGCAGGTGACCAGCAGCAGCAGGAAAACCGTGCGGAAATAACGAAGGACGGCTGACATCAGCATTTGTTTTTCTATTATAAACAACGAAACAAGACAAAACTTAGAGAGACTCTCCGTTGAGAGCTCGAGGTAAACAGGACCACGCACGTGCTGCCGCTGATCAACACACGCAGGTGTGGGCAATCAACTCACTCATATTACTTCATCAGGAAAAAGACCAGAGAACTTAGGACTTGTTCAGTCATCGTAACACAGTCAATTAATAAATTATTTAATTTAAAAAAAACCACAAGAGACTAGTTTTAAATGATAGCATTGTTAGGTCGTGGACAATATTTTTAATGTAAAACTTGAATTAATTCTGTAATAAAAGTAGTAAATAAAGTAGTCATTTCCGGTTATATTCACAATAAGATAGAAAATAAGATTTAAAAAGTAGAGTCCCATAAAAAAAGGGAAGTCAGGTTAAAACACGTTTTCCCCTAGCTTAGATTGTTACAAGACTTTGTTATGGCCATAAACTGTAAAGGCTATGGCTTGCAAAAATAAGGACCGTCATGGCGATTTATTTGGGGCTTTTATTTTGAAGACGTCAGATGTCCGCTTTTTTAGAGCAACGTTACTTTACAACAACTAGAGGAGGTAATATCTACAAAAATATAACCAGGTTCGTTTGTATGAAAGAAATATTCTTAGTTATTTTGGAGAAAACGTTAAGAAATATTAATTCACATTTTGAAGCTGTAAAAAAACTAACATTGATGAATTACTTGTTGTTGGGCGTGGCTAACTAGCTAGCTAACAAAGTAAGCTAATGCTAAGAATGCTAACGCTGTATTATGAACTGTAAGTTAATGTTACTGACATTGTATGACTAGTGTAGCTAAATTATTGGGCTTCTTTTAGAATAGAATAGAAAACTTTATTGTCATTTCCCTATATATTAAATATATTATATATTTTGATATATTTTTGAGTTATTGAGTCCTCAGAAGCTAGATATGTTAATGTCAACTAGCTAATTTAAAATGTGAAACTTCTAACTGCTACAGTTACTCACGTATAATCCATAGTCTGGCTAGCTAGCCCTAGCCAAATGTGCTAACTAATGTAGCCACGTGTAACTTTAATATATAATTTTCCAATTAATTTACAGTATTAACATACAGTTGTGGGGGAGAAAAGACATATGCATTTCTAATGGGCTATTATTTGTTCTGGGGCAGACATGTCCAAAGTCTGGCCCGGGGACCAATTGTGGCCAGTGGACCAATTTTAAATGGCCCACTGCTTGTCTTTAAAGTATACTACATGTGGCTCGGCTGGTTAATAAAGCAAGATAATTTTGCATATTTTCCATTCACCTCACAATGATAGGACTATCACACTGTTTGTAGACATGCACATTGGAAATATAAAGGCGAAACTAATGCGATTTCATAAACAGACATGGCCACAGCAAAAAAGCAGAGAGTCAACATTGAGGGCCACCACTTTCAGGAGCGCTGGAATGTTGAATCCTTTTGCACTGAAAGATGACACAGTTGTATTTGTCTCATTTGTAGGTAATTTATTTTTAATAACTCATATGATGTGAGAAGCAGCTGGCCCCCAGATATTTTTTGGACACCCCTGTTCTAGGGTAATGATCTTCCACCGGATGTGCAAGATTGGCTCAAAAGCAGGTAGCTATCATTTTAAGTCTTAATTTTTGTGACTCAACATTTGTCAAGTGAACAACAACTGCAAGCACATCCATTGCTATTGAAAAACTTATAATAAATACGATACTATACTATACTAAATAATGGCAAAATATGAAGTTGGTGATATAAATCAGTAGTTGCATGAATGTGTCATGTTTGCTCCAGAAAAACACTGAAATAAAGTGTAGCTACTTTAAACCTGCTGACCACTAGAGGGCAGAAATTAGACTTAAAACAAATAAACTGCACAACAGAGTTTTGATATACTATTGCATCATAAATATGCCTTGTAACAGGCACAAAGTATCATGGATTAAATCCCTTATCAGTCATACTTTTATATTTTCTGCAGTGGATGCACACAGTTAGATTGTGATATTGTGAACTGAAAGTAAGTATTACACAAGCGATGTGGAGTATTGCATGGAGTATATAAAAGGGACAGATGATGAAGTTACCACTTAGTTAGTCCAGCGGTGCTCCCTCCCCTGCTAATACTCACATCTACATTCAAAGTGAAACAGAAAAACTGAGCCTCTGGAGGAGAAGTTAAAAATTTGCAGAGCGCATAAAATATCCACCCAAAGTGTCAATGTTTGGAGACTTAAATGTCAAATACAGTTTATAGCTAATGTTTGGAACTCAGCTGTTATCTGCCATCTTGTTGTTTTGGCTTGGCAAGAATACCTAAATTTACTGATGTACAGGTCACTACTATATTATTACTTTACAGTTGTACACAGGTACTTAGCCAAAAGCTCAAGCTCCACTTACATGGCAGTAATACTGTAAAATGTTAAACACTAACAGAGTGTTGTTAGCTTGACAATATTCATAGGCAACAGATAAAAATGACTGCAAATTACAGTTTGCTTTCATTATATTTCTATAACCATGTCCTCATCGTTGTGGTTTTATGAGTACTGTTCAAGTTTCCAATACTCTGCCAGGCAGCAGTTTGTAGAACTAATTGTATTGCCAAATGTACTGGAAGTTACAAATAAACTTCTTTAGCTTGATTAAGTCTTATTGTACACTGGAGGGTTTGCTTATCTTTGGCAGTTTGCACAGTACGTACCGATTACTGAGCTGTGTGGAAAAAGCACACACTGTTGCAGTTTTCAACTTGGCTGGCAGTAGGGCACAGTAACAACTCATTTACATAGTTGGTCAACTTCCAGTGTAATCTTTTTGTGATAAGATGTACTTTATTAAATCCCAAGGTGAAATTCAATTTTTCACTTTGTTGTCATATACACACAGGCCTGAAACACACATACACGCACAAACAGAACCTACACAGGCATTAAATGGAGAGATGTCAGAGTGACAGGCACCCCTAGCAGCTGGGGATTCGGTGCCGAGCTCTCTTGCATCTTGGCGATGCCTAGGAGGCGAGCTGGCACCTATCCAGCCAAGTCCCAATGGACTGACCTCCTGCCACCAACCAAAAGTGGTGCTGCAATACCTGGTCAATGTGTGTAGTGATTGGAGCAAGCCCCTTTTAGAGCACCCAATGCTAGAAATCCATTTAATATGTTGTCCACGTATAGAGGACATATCAGATATTACACTGATAAGAACAGATAGAACAAATCAAACAATTCTGTAATATACAATAAAAGTTAATCAAATGACTCAACAACAATTGTAATTATGAATATTAGGTATTAAATCATCATCATAAAGTCATCATCAGTGCAGGTCACCGTATGTGTGGCTCCATTCAATTGAACCAAATATGCCAGCTTGAAAAAGTGTGTTGTCAGACGGGATTTGAAAGTGAAAAAGCGAATCAATATTGCGAATGTCGTGGAGGAGACATGATCTTATCCAAAGGATGAAATAATTTTACACAATTTTGAAGCCTAAATAAATGATTTTGGAAAATTATGCTTAAAATAAAACCCAAAATTTAACATTTTATTTAAGAGGTATAAATGTTAATGCAGAGTGTTTGTTGCAGTGAACGTCAGTTCGATTAATGTGATTTTATGTACATTCATTCAACTTTATATGTTGGAAAAATATTATTTCTCATATCATCATGACACTGATATCAGACAGTTTTAGTGGGTTGTTGTTGATGTGAGTTTTCTGCACATACATGTATATACATTATCATATTTGAACTGCAGTCTTTTAACACATATCAGTTTAAACCAGTTAGTATTCCCATCATATGTCTTCTCACTAAATGAAAAAGGAGCACTGATCATATAAAAAACTTAAAAGAAACCTCTTTGCACGACTACTTCACTGACCAATATAACTGACAATATTAGCATTTCCTGCCCTCTACTGGCTTGAAATAGGAAGAGCAAGTAAAGGGACAAAACATTGTCCAACCAACCTCTGTTAAAATAATCTAAAACAAACTAAAAACATATTGTAATGTAGATGTAGTGACTAAAAATGAAGTACCAAAGAGAGTTGGTCCATTCAGCACAAGTCAAAAAAGATAGTACAATTAAATCTCGTCAGCTAAAGCTATGCTCATGTTGTGTGGTGGATATACAGTACTTGTTAATGGCCTTCATGTTGTTGACTCGACACAGATGGAGTTTTTGTGTTTAATGTACTTAGTTTGCTGCCCTTGTTTTAAAACACCACACCAAAGTTCCACTATCATGCTATCAGCAAACAGCTCCTTGTACAGTGGGTGTCAGGATAGCGTTTGATAGCATAACTGTTGATTTAATGCACATTGATTTGAGGGGATGGACCATTTTGTTGATGGTATGGTTTTCCTGTTGTACCATCCAAAGGACACTTGTACATTTTTTTTCCTCACTGCCTGCAAGGTTCTAAAAAAAGAAAAAGGATGTTGTTTTGCCACCCAGCACTTCCATGTTATGAAGGGTATAAGGAAAAATTAAGTACTTTTTAATGTTGCACTTACAGGAAATTATATAATACCTGGACCACATCATAGTATTGTTGGACAGTCTTTGATGTTTGCAAAATTTTGCCTGAACCATTAAATAAGAGACAAAGGAAGCCTTTCTGTGGCAGATTTCCTTTTTGTGATCGTTCAGCTGCCGTGCAAAGGAAAGTTATGGGGTGGGATTTAAAACATAAAGCAGTCAACTGCTGTGTGTCGAACAGTTGCTGCGAGTGTAGCTGTCCTTGTTCAGGATCATTATGCAAGCAGCTTCTTTTCCAGATAACAAGACAAAGGACATTGTTCTGGCACTGTTTTGCTTATGGCTTCATTGTCTAAGCTCCGACTCTTTTCATGTCATCAGGGATTGTTTTTCTCCGGGTCAGTTAAGGATAGAAAACAGTGTTATGCACTGCACAGTAAAAAGCAGCATGTCTGATCTGAGAAAACAAGGCAATTCATTCATTAATGCCAACCTGACCATTAAAATGATTTCTTTATCATTTGAATTACACCTCACCCTACAATTTAATATTTGGCTTCTTTTTATGCAGTTAAGAGAAATCATGTCAAACTTGTATTTTGCTGATTGCCTTCTAATCAATACTGAAATAACAGATTACTGTGTGGTATTAGGGGCATGGCCTTAATATGTCCTAATTGTGTCTTTTTTGCCACAGCAGTCCACAGAGTGACGCCCATGTTGTCCCACAAAAGGAGGCCTTTCTCATCCATTACGGCTAAAGTTCACAAAGAGATGGTAAAGGAGACATTCCACCAGCCAGTCTGGTTGCCTGCTTTGCATAACTGGCCCCACAAAGGTCCCGTTTGCATATACTGAAGCTGAGAGAGGCAGCTTTTTCAAAACGATCAAAACCTGCAACAATATTTAGTGTTTCCTCTGCACTTTGAAGAACTTAATTTTGATAAAAACATGATCTGCCAAGCACAAAAATAACAAGCTTTTGCACCAACAACCAAATGACGTTTCACACCAGTGTTGATAGCAACTGTTTCCCAGGTGTGGTCTGTTTTTACATTTCCACATACTTAAAAGACATGAATCAAGAGGTAGTGTCTACAGATTTATTACATATTAGGTAATAAAAAAATGTTTGGATATCACTGATTGTGTTATCAGTAAGAAATATAAATTATATGGGTTCAAAATAGCATACTCATTGTTCATACATGTGATTAAACTATGGAAAAAAAGATGATTAAATTATCAATACCATATTTAAATAGCACATCTAACAGTGATACACTGTACAAGAGAGGCTACACATTCAATGCAAGTACACACTAAAGGATAGACAATGGTTTACGCTGTTTTATATTAACATAATATACAAACTAAGATCTGTTAAATATTGTCCATCTCACAGCTTCTCCTGTGATCCACGTTGTTGTCACCAGTCATGAGCCAGCTTAGTTTTTTGTTTCTTCCCTATGTGAGGCTGGAACAGTTTACTAATTGTGTTGAAGCCCTTCTGGTGCTCTCTGTCTTCTCCATCCTCTGCCTTCTCCCTGCACTTGCTCCGCTGCAGTCCTCCCATAAGTGCTCTGACCTCAGCTGACACACCTTTGCCGAGGTAGTGAAAGGCCTTCTTGCCGTCATTATCTCTCTCATTTATACTGGCTCCGTAGCTTTGCACAAGCAAAACCATGACTTCAGTGTGGCCGTGCATGGCTGCGATGTGTAAGGGTGTGTATCCTCCATGCGCTTTGCTGTTGATGTTCACATGAGTGCCTGTTTTTCTTGAGATATCCACAAGCTTGTGTATCATCTCACTGTTGCCGTCCTTGGCAGCCCAGTGCAGAGCTGTGAAACCTGACATGAAGTCCTTCTTCTGCGCCAACCGTGTGTCCTGCAGCAGCAAACCATAGATCTGTCCCCACAGTCCGGCTGCACACTTCACCAACCACTCATGAGCTAGTGGCTCCAAAGGCACAGACTCTGAATACTTTGCATCATCTCTCTTGTTCTGGGGCCTCACCAGGGGGAAGCCTGGGGGTTGCATGTCCTCAGTCTGTCTGTTTTTACACTGGGAGTCACTTGGTGCACCCAACTTGCAAGCTGTATGATCCAGAGTTGGCACTGATGGTGCGGAAACTTTAGTTATCAACCTAACTGGTTTGTCTGAAGTTGTATGCGGGTGTAGTTGGGAATGTGACCCATGCTGTGCTGCTGGTGCAGAGTCTCTCTGAGGGGATTTGACTGCTATGACAGCAAACACAGCACCAGATTTCCTTGCTCTGCTCGCTTGATCTCCCGAGATATTCAGGACTTTAACAGTAGTTGCATCCGCACTACTAATGCTTCTCGATAACGGTCTCCTTTCCTGCGTGCTCCTCGCAGGCGCACGTTTAACATCACTATAATAATTCCCATTTATGTTCGTGGGGCCGCACACATTATTGTTCTCGATGTCAGAATAAATCACGCTGGCTGGCTCGGCTCGGGGAGGAGATGTGTACGAAAAGCTCGTGTTTTGGCTCGAGACACTGTCATCCATCTGTGTTTTCTGCGAGGCATCATGCGCCACCTCTTTATTGACAAAGTCCTGGTACCTCTTCTTCACAACCACGAACTTTACCTCGTCGATCTGCTTCACCACAGCGACGCTGTTGACCAACTTTTTGAAAAGGTCCCTATTGTGCTGCTTTTCCGCGGGATCACTGCAGCTGATCTGGCTCCTGAAGTTGTTCAGCAGCTCCGAGTTCTTCACTTTGCCTCCGTGCTCCAGTAGAAAAGACAAAATGCATTCCTGGGTCAAAGCCATTTTGTCCCACAGGGGTAAAAATGTGAAAAGATGGAAGCGATCGCTTGGATAATAGCCCGAGGGATAATCTCCTTGCTGTCCGTGCTCCCCTCTCTGTTGTCCTCCACCAACCTGCAGCTTCCGGCGCCTCGCCAATAAATCCACCCATTTATTAGTCATGGCTCTCCCCGTTAAAGGCCCCGGTAAAATGCTTTAAAAAGTAGTAATAAAACAAAGGTTGTAATTACTGTATCTATATCAAGGCTGTTAAAACAACTAAAGACAAACTCTACATTTATTTTTTTTGGTATTTGCATGGAGAGACATATGAGTCAGATGTTATTAAATATATTTAGGACAACTTTTTTGTATGTTCATTGTGTCTCCAGTTTTGTTTAATACAGCAACTAAATTTTCTGTGATTTTCTACAAGCACTTGGCTATTTCTATATGTAATATATTTTGTTTAATCAATAGTATGTCACATTAAAAATGCATATTCTTCTACCGTACAACAGTAAGCCTAAATGTTGACTCCCTTGTGACCTATGAAGCACTTTCCCAAGACTTAGAAAAACTTTTGACCAAATAATGATAAATATGAATGAATGGATAAAAAAATCTATGAGAATTGATGGATTAATTCATTCAAATGATGATTATTATTAAAACATAACAACACAGTAATGATACCTTCATATGAATGATATATAATGTATCCTGACAACATCTTGACAATAGTGTTAAAACCATGTAATTCAGTGTATTTAATACTTAGGCTATGCTTTTTGTAGTCTGTCCATACTGCAGTGGTGCAGAAATAGGTAAAAGTAAAACTTATATGTTACACCATCAGTCCTAGATTCATAATCTATTTGTAGAAGCACAAGTAAGCACAAAAAAACATACCTAAAGTATAGTACCTAAAGTAGTATACTCAGGCAGCAGATTGCCCCACGGCAGAGGGTTCTGTTATATTATTAAATTTTAGGGACTGTTCTTTACTTGTTGGAGGAGGGAGGTTGCTGGGGTGTAACTTCTTTATATATGTATATATATATAAGCTACAGATATTTTTTCCTTGAGCCTCCCTGAGTGACTGGCAGAAAATTCTTATACCTCTCTCCGCCATAAATTAGCTATTACATTTTTAAAACTACACTTTGATATTTAAAAGTTAAAAATCGAAGACAAAATCCTGGAGTTGAAAAAGCCTTGATCTTTCACTCTTGTCGTGCATACTGGTTAGTTCATGCAAACCATTTATTTTTAGCCAAATTTCAAATGAAATGTAGAATAAAGTGATTTTAATGAAATGTCACTATTTAAAGCTCAGATTTATAGTTATGGTTTTTTTTCTTTTTCTGACAGAAGCTTTTGTGGGATATAAAATCCAATGATAATTTCTGTTTTTTACAGTTTCTGGCCATGATAAATGGTGTAATTTTGGCAATTTTTATTTTAAAATTTAAAAAATTGGCACTAAAATAAAAACAAAATGCAACCATTCAAGTTTGTATGCCCCTCTCCTAAGTCTCACCCTAGTGCTCCTTTTTGCACCATCCCTCCCCATCATAAATAATGAACAGTCCCTTATTACTCATGCATTACAGTTTAGATGTTGAAGATAATTTTAGAAGCTCTACACAATAGTGGATAGCTGTACATTATACATGTTAATTACAAATTTTGCATGCAAAATCTTGATCTTCAAAATTAATTGTCAGGTCATGCAGTTGGGTAAGAAGCACATATTTCTCTTAAATGTATTGGAGAAAATCAATAAAGTACAATTTGATGTGAGTAATATTATAAAGTAGCCAACAATGTCTATCCCACTTTATGCACAGCGACACTGTGCAGCTGAGTTCCTGTGTCATCGGGACTGCGTTGCTAGGAGACAGCTGGTCTCCAAGTGTGTGACTGTTGAATGAACTTGGACCCACTTAAAATGGGAAATGGCTTTTTTTTTTTTTTCTTAATATTTGTATATTGTATGAAACCCCTGGGACACTGACAGTGGCTCTACATGCTGTTTCAAAGTTGATGAAAGAGGAGAAAATCTGAGCTGAAAATGGAGGTTAGCTGTGACAGAGTATTGCTGCTATTCCTGTTTTAGCTGGTTGTTTGAAGTGGCAGTGGCTTTAGCTAGTCTAATCAGTGATCTGAAAAATTACTGAGCCAAAAAAACAAACTAAAAAAGAAAAGAGCTTGCACTAAATAAGGTAGGCTGTGTGGAGCTGTTGTAATGTCGCCCTCCAGCACCGAGGGGGTGTTGCCTCCAAGTGGCCATATTGAAAGCAGTGTGAGTCTGTCCGTGCTTCATGTGGGGAGCAGGTCTGGCTGAAGACAGATAATTACGGCACACAGCCACTTCTGACGATGGCGGCCAATGAGGTAGATGTCTTCGCAGTAAGTATGATGATGTGCTGTCTGCGGGCCTGCAGTGACTCATGATTTTGGGTGTCGTCAGAGCAGATATAAACTAACGTGGCTTTCAGGTGTGTGTGGGAGCAAGGTGATGGTGATGGGCTGTGTAGAGGAAATGCAGCAGGGTCGGCTGCTGCGGTGTCGAGGAAGCTTGTTGTGGATAAAGACGGATTGGATAGAAACGATGCACCGTCGTCGCTGTATGATGTGTGCAGTCTGTGGAGACGTGCACTTCTGCATCCAACTGTGCAGCATGAAACTGCGTGTGCTGTTTACCATGTCAACACTGTGACAGGTGCACACGGGTGCCAGCAGTTGAATGAAACGCAGGACAGCAGGCAGTTAAGAGACTAAGTTAAGAGGATAAACATAAGTAGCAGCCTCCTCAAGTGGCAGCTAGCTCCTCGAGATGGTTCAGCGAAAAATTAAATATGTATTAGCCAAATGTGTAATTCGTGGCGATCAATGAGTCAGTTACAAAGCCATCATAACTAGCTCACAGTACGTGCCTGGTATCCTGTGTCCTGTGCACAGGTTGCACTGAAAATGATGCAGGACGTTGTTAAGTTAAGGTAGTGTGTGTGTGTGTGTGTGTGTGTTTGTGTAAGGGGAGTTATGGGTACCAGGGCAGCCAGCAGCTTGGATATCCTCCCACCCTGTGAAACAACATCTAGATAAAGAGCTCTTTGTGTGTCTGTGTGAAGGGAGAGGGACAGAAACGGATGATTGTTGCATTGAACACATCCTGATCCTCATGTTGAGCTTTTTGCTAGATGCCAGTATCCCAGGGTGTTTCTGCGATGGGAGATGAACTGCTTCCCAGTTTATACAGCCAAGGGGAAAATACAGTCAGTATAGTATGTTTTATTGTGTAGATTAAAACACCTTAATGTGTAACATGGAAAATGTACAAGTCTCGGGCATAGAAAACTGTTTTTATAACCAATTAACTATTAAAGTGATTTGTAATTAAACATTTTGTGTGTCCCTTTTCTTAAATGCGATGCTTTTCTTCTGTTTGAATCATTAACCAAATTAGACATTTTGATTTTGTACAATTGGTTGAGCAAAACAAGCAAGCTTTTCGATTATATTCTGACATACAAAACAGTAAATGACTTATCTATTAACCTAAAAAATAACTGACAAACTCATCGATGTTGAAAATATTTTTTAGTATAGCCCTAAATATAAACCATAACTGCATCATCAAACCGAGGCTAAGGCCTTATACTTAAGCTCTGCATACAGACACAAGACACACAATGCAAATTATGACATCTGTGCTCATTCTCATTCTCATAGCTTTTTATTTTCCTCCCAGATTTGTGATTCTGTAAAGGAGGAATCTGTGATATGGAGACCGAACTATTCACTGCACACTATTCTGTGTGTTAAGTGGAAGAGAGAGATGACCTCATTTGCAGAGAATGCTTTTAAGCTTGAAAGCAGAATGTGGGGATGGGATCTGACAGACGGAGTTTTTAACCCTGCCCTTATATTGATTTTTGTCATTATCTCCTTTAATATTTAGTGGTATGACATGAATAAGGGGAAATAAGGGTTCTTGAGTCTGATATTTTTTTCATCCTGCCTGTTTTCTGAATACCTCAGCATGAAGAAAAGCGAAACCTGGAGCTCGGTGGTCATGTGGGGTTCGACAGTCTCCCAGATCAGTTGGTCAGCAAATCAGTTGCACAGGGATTCTGCTTCAACATCCTCTGCGTAGGTACGTCTGCACCCAGGAGGAGTTCATAACCCAGAGTTAGTGCTATGACCGTAACATGAGTTAGATGGATTTTGGAGCGTTAATGCATCACCTCATCTTTCCCTCATCTCTGTTCTCCATGTTTCATTTTCTATTTTTTTGCAAAGGTGAGACGGGGATAGGCAAGTCAACATTAATGAACACTCTTTTCAACACAACGTTTGAAAACGAGGAAGCCAGCCACTATCAGAGTGAGGTGCAGCTACGGCCACAAACCTACGAACTGCAGGAGAGCAATGTCAACCTCAAGCTGACCATTGTGCACACTGTGGGGTTTGGAGACCAGATCAACAAAGATGAAAGGTACAGATTCTTATCGATTGTTGTTTATCTATTAGTGTTGTCCAGATTTTGAAAAAGAAACTGTGCTGCACAAAGGAAGAAGAATACATAGTGTTATTAAGATGGTACAGAAAACTTGTCACAGAAATTTTCAGTGCTGTTTCACCACTGATCTTTAAAAATTCATAGAATTTTTTTCTTTGTTAGTAGTGATGGGCAAGGTTCTTTTCAGTGTACTGAATCACTAGAATCCATTCATTAGAAATATTCATTCACTGAATCATTCTGTGCTTGTCGACCAAAGCTCCAACTATGTGTAAATCCACTCACTAAACTGACACATGGCTGAATGTTCAAATTAACTATTAAACTGAGAACAGAGAATTTAGTTGGATAAAGATACTATTTGCAAATGAAAGCTGAAGTCCTACTGTTAAAGGAGCTGAGTCTACTACTAGCTACTGAGGTATTTGACCAGGGTTGACGCGCCTGTTACTGGACACGCTACGTTAGCTTCGTTACCCAAATGCTGAATCAGAGTCCATGAAACTTCTTGGGTTGCATCACCGTAACATTTATTCCATGTGTGCATGGCAAAGTCCATCTGTTACATCCACATTTGACGTTCAATACAAAACACACAAACAAAACTGTAGCGGTCCACGCCATTGCGGTCAAAAACCATTTGCCCTTCTGGGCCAAACACCTGATGACCATAGTGAGGTCACATCCTAAATACCTGAACTCACCAGGTGACAGGACAGTGCCCCCCAATGCCCACACAGTGAATTACACAGTTAAAAGCAAACCTCCCAATAACATGTTTGGCTCCTATACCTACCATATTATTGACAGAATGTATATTTTCATAACACCTAATTATTAATTACATATTCAGTACTTCTTCCTATTTCAACCCTTCAAGACAGGAAACAGAGGGAGAGGGCAGACTTGAGCATCACAGCGACACGTTCATTGTGTCAATCCTGTCTCCTAGAAATTATGTTTGTATGTTACTAAACTGCTTTCTTAATTATGTTGTTGTGGCAAAATAATCAATGAATGGATCAGATCAGACATAATGTTTCTTTCAAGTAACGAAACAATACATTGATTTACGGCGTAGGTTTCGGTAGGAGGTGGTTGGGGAGGATAGTAGGCATGCAAAGTGCAGGATCTTGGCACCAGAACTTTGCGTTAGCATCCAGATTCCTGTCTCAGGTTTAGGCAACAAATGCACTTTGGTTAAGGTTAGAGAATGATTGTGATTTTGACTAATTGTTAATAAATAAAAAAATAAATAAATAAAAAAAATCCAAAAAAGGTATCAAAAATTATGCTGTAGTCACTATGAGTGGATAGTGTATTACAGGATTGCCTATTTAGGCAGAAAACAACCTAAATACGTTGTCAGTGAACATTTTGCTGATGCGTTCAGTTTAGTATCAACACTTTTTTAACTTCTGCTGCATTATGTTTTCCTAAAAGGTTGTTTTCCCTAAAATATATGTTTCAAATTAGTTGTATAAGCATAATTTTTAGGCGACAGGGCTGACCGTGTAATATGTTCAGTGAATGCATCACTGAACATGCACCGTTTATCTCAGTGAAAGACTCAGGCTTAGCTACCTGTTTTTTCATATTGCAGGTTTTGCAAAGCTTTGTAAACCATGAAAGGTGGTGAGATTTAAAAAACAAACAAACAGATCCTTTCGTTCACTCAAAAATTGGTTGTGTACACAGACTGTTTAGATAATGAACGTAGCCTCGGGGACGTCACCCACTGGTTTGTAGATTGTCGTTTTGAAGCCTCGAGTTCGGCATTTCACCTGTCGCCATCTTGGTTTTTTAGAGCCAGAAGTGACCATATTTGGGCAAGAGGGTGGAGCTGTGGGGGAGTGAGGGGTGGTTCTGATTCATAGACTGGGGCAACACCTTGCAGTCTTTCACACAAGCAACCACATATTTAAAAAATTTGGGTCTTGATAGAATGTAAATGGAACCACTACTGTTTTTCATACCAGGCTGTAAACATGTTTATTTCTCCTGTAAAGTTGGGCATTTTAACATGGGGGTCTGTGAGGATTGACACTGTTTTGGAGCCAGCCTCAAGTGGCCTTAAAATGAACTGCATTTTGTGGCACACATTTGTGGTAACCCTAGATTTGCAAACACTTCCACAAGATTTTATGTTTCATATTTCAAGTGATCATTTCAACCCAAACCATTATATTTTACTAACACTAACCCAAGTGCATTCTGTGCCTGAATCTGACCAGACTGTAACCACAGATTGTCACACCATGAAACAGTGAGACAGGAGCATTTTGGCAGCTCGCAAGACTTTCACAAGTCTAGGGTTTCTATCTAGCCATGACCCAAAAGATTCGTTCTTTTATATAAATCGTTTGTGAATGACACAACACTTTTGGTTAGGTCAGAACCAGCTATTATTTATTTCTCCCTCTTGCTCTGCGGCTGCAGCCAACACAGTTACACAGAATGGAATTGAGAAAGAGATCTGGCCTGTTACTGGCATGTGAATTGGGAGGAGAGAGAGGGAATATGGGAATGACTGGTAGAACTAATGCAATCTGAATAGACATTTGAGTGCTCCAACAGCAGGGAGTGAAAAAAAAGCAGGCTTTCTTGGCTGAGAGACTGTAGCTGCAGAGTTTGTAACCAGGCCACTAGCATGTCTTTCAAACAGCAAGGCAAGGGATGTTAAGTTTATTGTTCATACATGTAAGGATAAGATAATGATGCTCATTTTTTATTTTGCTGTCTTTCTGTGCAGCTTCAAACCCATTCTTGAGTATATTGACGCCCAGTTTGAAAGGTATCTCGAGGAGGAGCTAAAAATAAAACGTTCCTTGTACAACTGCCATGACACAAGAATCCACATCTGTCTGTATTTCATCGCTCCCACTGGACACTCCCTGAAGTCCCTTGATCTCGTCACAATGAAGAAACTGGACAGCAAGGTGACCGCAGAATCTGGCACTTTGTATTTCAGCATTCAACGTTCCTTGTTCCTCAGTCTGTCACTCATGTTATGTTTTTTCCACGCAGGTGAACATCATCCCTGTCATTGCAAAGGCGGACACTGTATCCAAGAGCGAACTGGACAAATTAAAGATCAAGATAATGAGCGAGCTGGTCAGTAATGGAGTGCAGATTTATCAGTTCCCTACAGAGGATGAAGCTGTTGCAGAGATCAACACGTCCATGAATGTGAGTCCTAGAAACACACAGACACACTTACATAATACAATGCTGTATGTATTCACCCAGGATGTTCAGCTGTTCAGATGTACAGCTTTGTCGTTCACCCTGCGCGCCAAACTATGATGCTCTATGTATCTCTCGAGTGTAGTTTTGGATGGGTCATTTTCCGCTCGTTCCATGCATACGATGTCTTTTCAAAGTAAACTTTAATCTTCACAGGAAATGTTAGTTTTGGCACTAAAACTACTTGGTTAGGTTTAGGAAAAGATCATGATTTGGTTAACATGACACTGACTTTTGGCTTCACATGGGACACAAACAGCAGTCTCCTGGGTGAAATACCTGTGTTTGTTTGACTTATCCATTCACCCAGACCTCTTTACGTGGACTTTCTCATTTATACTACATCAGCTGCTCTGAGCATCTAATAATGCTGCAGATGGGTTCACATTGGAGTTAGCTGAAAGTGCATCTCATTCAGACTTGTAAATCTCAAAGGGTGCCTTTTGCATCGCTATCAGACGCCAAAAGGTGTGACAAAGCATTGGTATTTGACGATCTGGGAATGAAAACGGCTCGATCTTACAATATGTGCTCTCACTTTCTCCATCTCTGTATTAATTAGTCTGCACCATTCTTTTGGTGTTATTTATTGAAGAATTTTATTAGTGTGGTTCCAGACCAGAGTCCTGCATGGGTTCATTTTTGCATACCCGCACCTGCCCATACCTGTGAAGCTCGAATAGTTACCTGTCAGTATGTCTATGTCAAAGCCACACCGCCCGCACCCGTTAATAAAAGTCCCGCGACCTGACCCACACCTTTGATTAAACACACACAGGCTACACTCACTCACATTCAGCTGGGTTCTCTGTGCTTGAATTACAAATCCAGTGGAGGAAAAGTGTCTTTCCTGGGCTGAGCTCGTGGTGAAACAGTACGTGCAACCACTACAAGGTCAGGAGACATTTTAGCATGCTTCTTCCACCACTATAAAACCTCAAAAGGATCCCCGTTGGGTGTCTTGAACTCAATGTAGGCTGCCATCCCATCCTCTGGCTGCACAGTTTCATCGCTAGAGTCCTCCACTTCAGTGATGATGTGACGATGGGGTCAAAGACTTGACTTGTGTCATTGACTTTCAAAATAAAAGGCATTGCAGTTTGATAATATGATGTCAAAATATAACACATATACTGCACATCTGTTTTATTTGATTTACTGTGAAAAATAATATACATATATTTGCTCTCACCTGCTGCCCACCTGTGTGTAGTTCATTTTTACCTGTGCGTGTATTCTTGAATTTATATATATACATATTTTTACCCATTACACAGCTTTTTGTAGGTTTCTTGTTTGGTACCTGCAGGTACCTGACCCGGTGCAAGTCTCTGTTCCAGACCTTTGAATTGTTGACCACATCTCAGATTTTTTTCAGCAATTCAAATAGCATAGAAATACTAGTAAGATCTACGACTGTAGTACAATTAGTATAGTAGTACAGCAGTATTAGTAATATCACTAGTATAGGAGTAATAGCATAGCAGTGATAGAATACTGATTATCATACTACGATTTTATGATTGACGTTGCATAAAACGCAGGACATTTGTAAAAAGAGTTGAAGTAGAACAATGTAAACCACCATTTAAATCCATAGGAGACACATATTTAGAAGCATGTCGTAATAGCAGGATGCGGTCCTGAATATGACAACTGTCGTACCATTTTTAACCACATTGTAACAATATCAATACTACATGTTACAGACTCATCTTCCCTTTGCTGTGGTTGGAAGTGTAGAAGACGTTAAAGTGGGAAACAAGATGGTGAAAGCAAGGCTGTACCCCTGGGGTTCAGTACAGGGTGAGTCTGCCGAATGGATTTGACAAGCATCGTAAAAGTCCCCCAGACAGTAGCAGCTGTTTAGTCAGAAGCCTTCTGACAAGCTATTGTTAGTTTTTCTGTTGAGATGCAAACATGATATCACTATACTTTATGAGCACAGTGAGCACTGACTTTTCATTTAAAAATCTCAGTAAGTGCAGCATGACTAAGCTTCTGTTTTTTTTCCAGTGGAGAATGAAAACCATTGCGACTTTGTGAAGCTGAGGGAGATGCTGCTGCGTGTGAACATGGAGGATCTCCGGGAGCAAACTCACGCTCGACACTATGAGCTCTACCGCCGTTGCAAGCTAGAGGAGATGGGGTTTAAGGACACAGACCCTGACAGCCAGTCGTTCAGGTGAAATTAGGGATAGCAGTGATGTAATGCATGTGGGCAGCTTACCTCAGTGGAACTGCCATAAAAAACCCTGCACTTTTAAGATGTAAAAACTGTGGCGATTAATTACATTATTGATAAACAGCACACATTGTTTACATAATTTCAGATGCATTTTGCTTTTCTCCTTTTTACCAACCAATTAGAGCTTAAAGGAAAAGTGCAAAGCTTTATATGTGTATGTCCAGACTCTAGTTTAATTATTTAACTAATGGTGTAATTAATTGATGTATTTGGTTATATTTTTGACTCACCTAAACTTTTAGTGTCGTCATATATTCATGTCAAGATTAGTCACTCCCATCTCCCTGATACTGGGGAGAAACTACAGTAACTTCCTGTGTTTATGTCATGACACATGATATGTTAGATGTTGTACCTCCGACGGAGTTCAAGATTAGGTTTAACCAGCTATTTATAGATCTGCCTATTTAAAGTTCTTAGTGACCACTAGCTAATTTCAGACCATCCAATCAAAATCAATCAACTAGTTAAACAGGAAGTCATCCCTAACTGTAAAATAACCTCCAGATATAACAATTTTTAGGGTCAACAATCCTTTGTAAATGTAGATATGACTTTATTTTATTACATATGCATACATGCAGAAATATAATATAGATGTTAAATGCCGCTGCTATGGGCACACATCACAAGGGTATTGTGCCAGTGCTTGAGGGGTCATCATAATCATACGTATTGCATTAACTCTTGCTGATGACCTAATGACCTTGCAGCCAGGTAATGCCGCCGTGTATGCCTCTGTGGAGTATTTTAGAGTGAGTGGAATCATTGTCGTTTTTAATTTTGTGTTATTTAATTTAAAATATTCCCAGTTTACATCATTATTAAACTGCATTTTGATCAAGTGTCAGGTCAAATGTTGACCGTATTACCTCTTTTGATCTTCAATCTAAATGGGTCATATGTTAACATGCTAGTTTTATTGCTCCCGCTATGCCTGACAGTTCCTGTAAAAATTGAGTAAAGCTCTACATAAGAATTGCTTGTTAATTTGCAATGCATCAGTCCCCACCTAGTCTGAGTGGGCGGAAGTTTGCTGCAGAGATCAGCCTCTCATTTGGCGGAACGAACCACCCGCTGAAGTCCTGCCCTACCACCTCCGGTTGTGTAGCAGTTTTCAACACGTCCTTTACTAACTTTTGCGGTGTTTGATCTTGCGGGGATGTAGCCATTTTTCTGCCATGGTTAGCATCCTGTAGGAGATATTTTTATGGAAGTGTTAAACAAAAACATGTTTCCCCCCGGCAATATTTTTGCAAGCGCACCATTGCTGTGGCACCGCCCAGAACGATTGCGATTGGTTGAAAGAAGTACAAGCAGCCGGGGCGTTTTTTTCTCCAATCTCACAGTGAGAGTCGGCCTAGCCAGACCTTTCTTTTCTTGAGAAAGGTCTGGTGAGCGAGACTAGTCCCCACCTAGTTAACATTTATGTTACATCTGAGATGAGTCAGAACTTAAAAACAGCTGGATCAACCTGCTCCTGGGTACTAATCCTGTCCAACAAGGCATTAGACTGACCTTAAAGGGACAGTTCACACACAATCAAATAGACATTTTTTTTTCTCCTACTTGTAGTGCTGTTAATCAGTCTAGATTGTTTTGGTGTGAGTTGTCAAGCGTTGGCGATAAAGGCTGTAAAGATGTCTGCTCTCTCGGATATAATGGAACTAGATGGCACTGGGCTTGTGGTGCTCAATGCAACGTCTCTTTCCAGAAATCATGATCCAGTTACTCATGATAATCCACAGACCTTGTTGCAAACATTTTCATGTAGGAACTATTTTCTTAGTCTCGAACTACATCTGCCAACAGTATCACCGCATAGAAGGAAACATGCGTCTACTGCTAGCTCACCTGAGCACCACTAAGCTAGCTGACATTAAAGCTCAGCCAAGGAGGATGCCATTTTTGTTTATATCTTGCACTGCTGCGAGCACGAGCCTTTTGTCCATGAGTAGATGGATCCCTTCTTCTGTGCACTAATATGGCTGGTGGGTGAAGTTCAATAGAAAGAAAATAGTTCCTACATGAAACTGCTCACAACAAGGTCTGTGGATTATCTTGAGTAACCGGGTCATGATTTGTAGAAAGAGACATTGCTGTTGAGTTTTTCAAATGTAATTTTTCGGTGCTTTGAGCAGCATAAGCTGAGGGCCATCCTGTTCTATTATGCTAGAGAGAAGGCAGACATCTCTATGACCTATACCAAAACAGTCTAGACTGATAAATAGCACTACAGATGAGATAAGAGGGAAAATAAGGGTATTTTTGTGTGAACTGTCCCTTTAACTATGCTTTTACTCTGATCTTCAGCCTTCAGGAGACGTACGAAGCCAAGAGGAAGGAGTTCCTTGTGGATCTGCAGCGCAAAGAAGAAGAAATGAGACAGATGTTTGTCAACAAAGTGAAGGAGACAGAGGCAGAGCTGAAAGAAAAGGAAAAAGAGGTGAGGGTTAACATGATCATAAATAAGTGGAAATATACCATAATTGTTCAATCTCACATTTTGCCCTGTCCCATCATCATCATCATCATCTCTAGCTTCATGAGAGGTTTGAGCAGCTCAAGCGGATGCACCAAGAAGAAAAGAAGAATCTGGAGGAGAAAAGACGAGAACTGGAGGAGGAGATGAATGCCTTCAATAGAAGAAAGGTTGCAGCTGAGACACTGATGGGACAGGCACTCCAAGGCTGCTCACAACCATTCAAGAAGGACAAGGACAAGAAGAAGTAAGTCTGCTTTTACTGCATGGATTTCATTTGTACTGCTGCTCAAGCGGTTCCTATTTATACACCATAGTTTTCAGAGCAAGCGCTAATGCCACTAAATAGTAGTAACGCTAAAATTTTTCAGGCAACTCAAGGCTAATTGGTTAATGTCACACATACATTATATTCACAAGCCATGGACACATATTCTCCAAGCCAGTGTATGTAGAGCTGAGCAGACAGAAGGAAGAGCCGTACAGCGTGATTAATGAGATAGTGTTATTTTCCCAGAAGCCATGTTGGCTCATAAACTGATACAGGGATAGATTCAGACTGACACTGTGTGCCCAGACATAGTGGGAAGGGTCACAGCTTGTATGACACAGCCTGATGCTTATGTTTCTGCGGGCTGACCTTCCAGACTGTATCTCAGGCAGGGGCACTTCTGTTTACATTCGACCGGTCTCACCGATGCTGCTCACGCCATGTGCAACTCAGATGATACTCAGACATCCCACATAGAGCCGCAATAATTTCTGCAGGTGTAAACATTATATGTCAGGATCGATTACATACGCTCAGAGTTTATATACACAGCTCAATGCTCAAGATTAGCCTCGAAAAATCCACAATCACAAAGCTGTCTTAAGGATTAGGAAAACAGAAGCAAATGAAAACAAAAAAGGAAGCCTTTGACCATTAATGGCAGTTTGTACTGGTTTTAATACCCTACCATGTGGGTGAAAATGTTAAAGAGTGCCAGAAACATTAAGCCAGTGTAATCCCACAAAGGGCCAAAGATGATTTCAACAGGTTTCTACTACCTCTAAAATACTGTAGCTGAGGATCCTTCTGACCACGCTGTATAACCCAGTTTTAATAAAAGCAATGAATACATTATCAAGTATTTTTTTTTAAAAATGAAAGAAGAGCTGCACATAGGCACACTAAATATATGCACACAAGGATTAATATGATAATTCTTTAGATTTATGACATTGAGGAAGATGAGGACTGTATGATAAAAAAGCTGTCAGGTGTTGAAAATACATCTGTGTAAGTTAAACGTTAAAGGTGAGAATTTGTTCAGACTACCTGATTTGTTTTTCAGAATGCAAATGTTCCGCTGAATTAATGTATCTGCTTTAGTTAATAAATTTAGTGGTATGTTTAGTGTTCAGCAGCAGTGACAGAAAAAGTCGATTATTATATGCAATCGTTTCTGTTGGTACAGACATGGTTGGTTACCTGTGGTGTAGACATGGTGTCAGTGTCATGTGTCATGTTTGATTTGACCTGAAACACAGTTTGAACTCCTGATTTGAGTGATCAGATTGAGAAACGTCTCGACAAATTCAGTTTTAATCTGATTTCAGCCCACCTGTGAATGTAGTCTGGGGCTGGGAGACATGCTGCGTCTGTTAAAACACAAGGCTCACCAGACGTGTTGTCTTGTGCCAACAATCAAGGGCACGTAGGCAGGTTGTGCCTGATGTTGAAGTGACTATAACCATAATGTGCATAATGCTAACAGCAATGTAAAATAGCATAGCCTACTTAGCAGAAATCCTGAGTTCGGAGATGATCTTCTTCCAGGCATTGTTTTCTAAGCGTTTATCAAAATACTGTCCATTGGACAGATGAAATGCTCTGGGTCATCCTGTACTAATATAATCTACTTCTCTCTGTGTCTGAAATTCCATACGAACATGTTATTCAGTAGGCTAATCAGTATGTGAGAGTTTTTAGTATCTCCGAAACCTTAGTATGAAACCAATAGACTGTGAATTGCATACTATTTTCAGAGAAATATTACAGTATGCAAACACTGGACTTTATGATGGCATGAATATCCCACAATGCAATGCACTACAGGACAATGCTCATAACAGACAGCTACCAAGGCAGCATTGTAACATCATCACACCTGCCCCGGGACTACAGTTGAATATTAGCTAAGCTGGCTAAACTGGCACGTTTACAGAAATGTTTACTGGCCATGTTTATTAATGTGCACTGTCTCTGTAATCTTAAACTGTATAAATAAAGTATATACTGTGCTTCAGTTTAAGTGTAAGTATGTACGAAGTGTTAGATTTCATTTGGAAGACGTAAGATAGTTTTAACATTATTTTTAAAGTACTGGCAGAGCTTAGGTTGGCAGCTGTTAAGGAGGTTCTCAAGAAGTGATGTGGTAAATTACAGGTCAGTGCATCAGAAAAAATACATACTAATGTTTATTAACATGAAAGTATATTGAATGATGGGACACATATCAGTTATGTAGTGGAGTGTGCATTATCGGACGCAGTGCCTGTTCACTTCAGGGCACAGCTGTTGTGCTTGGGAAAGCTCCCCATGACAGTGTCGCTCTTGCTTTTGAGGGGGCCTTCTGTATGTCAACACTGACAACAATGAGGGTGCAAAAAGGGCAACATGTGTCTGGGCTCTTAATCTGGTTTGGAGAAACTGGTTTTCATGGGTTTTTTTAAACAATCTGATATAAATGATAAAATGTCTGACGCTAAACGTAGCGTAAAATGTATAAGTCTATGGAAGGGAAGTGGATGCTGAAAAGAAGTTACAACCGAAACACTGTTGCATTCCCATTTCATTCATTTATTCATTTGATTTCAACCATTCCTCAGTTCCTTCATTTTTTCTTTTTTCCGTATTCTGTCCTGTTTCTTTTCCCCTTTCAGTTGATTTTTGGATCAAACATCCAGTGAAACCAGGACTGTGTCTGCCATCAGCATGGGAAACTGAGACTGTCATATCTGACATGACTTACTGACACTGTATGTGTGGACTCAGTGTCACAGTGACTATGCACGTATGTCAGACTGAACAATGTGATGGCTGTAAGCCGCTGTGTACTTACGGATCAAAAAGGTAGCTTTGCTCAGTGTATTTAATTTGTCCCTAATGCTGACTCTGCTAGACGCACAATCCATGGACTGTTTTCATAACATGTAGCTTGTGTTGTTTTATGTTCTTGCCATGAATGTGTGTTCACGTCCTGGTGTCCCGTTGAAGAACGGGAGACTTTTAGTTACTGACTGAATCGAGCTGATGGCTGTGAGCTGTGTTATGTATTAACATGGAAGAAGCATTTGTGTGCTTTCAAACATGCAGTTTTTCACAAGTTGAATGGTCTCCAGTAGGTTATTATAAGACAGAATTTCTAATAATGTACATGAAAATATTGATAATTGTTATTGGTAGTTTGAGGTACGAAACGATCTAACACCATTCTGTGCAAAGTTATAAAGAAAGTAATTGAATTAATTTACAGTGAGTCTGGAAATGGAGCAAATATGTTGCCATAATTTGTATTTAAATAAATAATGTCGGTGGAAAACCAAACAGAGCATCAATTCATCTGTTGGTCAGCTGAACCCATTCCCATTAAACTCCCTCAGTTCTCTGGGACTTCCCATCTCATCAGTCATTTGCGTGATTCAAAGCATTTCATACTGCACTTGTTGTCATCATGATGTATCAAAAATGTTTGTCTGATTTAACAGTGTTTCTATAAAAGCATTATCCATTTAACTCAAGTTTCAGCTTTGATTTTGCATCCCTCAGTGGCAGCACACAGGACAAATAACAAAACTTATCATTTGCACGAAACTTTCATATCTTGTTAAGATTTGTCTAATAACCTTGCTGAATATGTAGATTTGCTTGTTCAAATAAATGACCTGGCTTTTCTTTCCTTTTCATAGCTTCTTTAGTCTCCCATCTGCGTACTCCCTAACCTCAGGAAGGAATTTGAATTAGAAGACTTTCTACCACATCAAAAGATCACAGACTAACTATCAATTGTATTATTTTTACAATGTGAAATAACAGTTTTATAGAAATGCACTTAACATCTCTGGAAGTGATTTAGCCTAAAGTCTTCCATGTCTACTAAACTCTCCTTTAAGCTTTTAAGCTGTAGCATGGTCTCTGCATGGCTCCTAACCTTCATTCCCAAGAGTGTTAAAAGATCGTCATTGCCAAAATCTCAGTTTTTGTACTAGATGTGCTACCTTCATTTATCTGCCATGTTATGCTTGTAGTTTTTGACTGATGACAATTTACACTGTGAAATATATGTTATAAAGTGACATGATACTGCTGTTAAATGTTGTACTGATCGTACATTATATTATGATTTATAAGCACTTTAAATCAGTCATGGTACAGATACTGTCATCATAAAAGGTATATCATATGCTAACATGTCAGCCCTTATGTTGTGTCAAACAGCTAGATAGAAGTATTTCATAGTTTTAAACTGCAAAATCTATATATACAGTACATATACTGTTGAAAAAAGCCTGGATGTATATATATTCAGGATTAAATCTCCTTATGTCAGTAGATCTATATGGTGGGTCTGTGTCGGCCCGCTTACAGATTTGTATATCCTGATGTAATAAAGACTAACTTTATTGAAAACGTGCCCTGATCTCTCCATAATTGCACATTTAGACAGAAAAGTAGACAGAAAATGACAGGTTGTGGTAAGCTGTGGTCTCAGCAGGGTCAGGATCTCTCCAGACTGTTCCAGAAACCTGCCAGTAGGCGTCCATTTAAAGAGAAGAAGAGGCAGCAGAGTGTAAGGATGAAGACTGGCCTATGAAAACAATTAGTACATGACATTTTAACAATTTCTGTACAGTTTTCCAGAAGATTCACCAACAATTTTGCTGTTTTCTCTGTTATTCCTCCTTTGCTGTAATGTTGCACACATTTTTTGATATATATATTTCACCGAACGCTAAAACGGATAAGGAATTAACTCGTAAATTGTGCCGCTTTAATGTTGAAAATGAAAGTGATTTTAGTGTAAATGCAACATTATTTTATTGCCAGTATAATAATGAAGTAACAGTGGATAGCAAGTCACGGCCATGTCCCGCCTCCTTCCCTGTGATTGGCCCCCCAATCCTTATGGGGCGGGACTTAATTGTGAATGACTGGAAATATATCCAATCAAAATCTAGAATACGGAAGGCCGTCCGTCGATGACCAATGAAAGCTCACCATGTTTGGTCATGGGCTTGGTTTTATGCCCGCATTAATACACAGACTGCCCTTTTCCCCGTCGCCTTACGCCAAGGGTAGGGGGGTGTGCATAGGCAGAAATTAACCTATGCTTAAAACTTTCTTAACTGAAAGTACATACTTACACGTTTTTGTGTTTTAAACCTCTTTTCACTCGCTTATCCAAAGCGAGTGGAGGCTTTTTCCCATCGCTGTTTTTTCCTTACATTAAAGACAACGTAACTTCGTCCAAGGTAAGTTAACCAATCTTGCTTCTATATCATGTTAACTGACTATATATTAAAGCTGAAGTGGGACTGGGGATTTAAAACCTTGTAACACGTCGTTACGTGGCTGTCCGTAACTGAAAAGAGACTAAACTAACGCTGTGAACGTTGGAAATTAATGTTAGCTTTAGTGGTTGTAGCGTTAGCTAACGGTTACGTTGTTGACGTCAGATTAGTTTGTCATTTTCTCTTCGCCGTCATAAAGCACAACGATCAACTGATTTAACACCCGCTGTGTTGTGTCTTGTAGTATTAGCCACTGATTTATTTGTTAAACTGTGTTATCTGACTTGTGGTTGTTGTCATTAGGCTCTGTGTTAGCTTTCCGTTGGTGTGTATGGCAGGGACATGTCCCGACATGACGCAGGTCCGGCTGTGCCACTCACATGGCCTGCTTCTCTGGTATAAAGCCTGATCATGTGCCCTGGCTATCAAACGTGTTACTAAAACACAGTTATTTATATATTTTAAGGAACTTGTATCGGTGTAGACATGATATTATACTCTTTCAACACGTGAGAAACTTTGACATGTCCCTGCCCCCGTTATGTATCTATGTTGTAAGTTAGCACCACCCTTTGCCAAGTCCAGTTGAGTCCAGTTCAATGACAGCTGTTGGGGGAAGGCTTGTTACTCGATAGCTTATACATTTGGAAACACTCCCATGTCTCACTTACTCCTGAGCATTTCATATCCCCCGTCCAGGTCTATTCTTATTAGTAAACAACATTAAGGTGATATGCTGAAATGTGCTAAAAAATAATTTGTATTGCAGTACAGCTGTTTTAAAATGAACCAACCATAGTATATAATAGTATTTCCCCCAGCTGCTAACATTAGAGAGTAGAGCTGCAACAATGAATTAATTAATTAGCTGTCCCTCTTAAATTTTCACCAACTAATCTGATGAACAAACAATGGATTTGTATAATCTTTTAAAGAATAGAAGTCAAAATTCTGATTCCAGTTTCACAAGTGTGAATATTTTCTGGTTTCCTTCACTCCTCTGTTGACAGTAAACACAGTATCTTTCAGTTGTGGACAAAACAAAACCTCTGAGGATGCCATCTTAAGCTTTTGTTAACACTGATCAACATTTTTTCATCTTCTGTAATGTTATAGATCAAACATCTAACCAATTAAATGAGAAAATAGTCATCAGATGAATTGACAAAAAATATTTCCAGTAGTTGCAGCCCTATTGGAGAGATGACATTTTATGTAGGACGAGGAGATTGGCTGATATACCATTAAAGGCTAGATATCATCTTGGCTTTGGCTATCTTAACATTATGCAGCCGCTGTCTTTTTCTGGTCTCAGTTCACGGATGCAAATTTGTAACTTATTTGAATCTTACAACAGAGTGAAACAGGTTATGTCTACCTGCTTTGTCATCATATCCATGTTATTCTTTTCACATTATCAGTGCTGAGACTTGTAGTCAAAAATAAAGATTTTTTTGCAAGAATGAATCAGTATTATTGAGCTCTTCTTTCCTATCTGTACAGATGATTGACACAGTGACAGGACCCGGAGCCCAGCCCTTTGCAGTTCAGCTGAAGGCCCTGACAGATCTGGAGGGCCGTTATCAACCAAAGCTGAGCGGCTTGAGGCTCATCGAGAGCTCCCAGGACAATGGCCTCAGAATGACCACCAAACTGAGAGAACTGGAGGTGAAGGACCTGCTGTCTCTGACCAGGTTCTTTGGTTTCAGCTCAGAGACCTTCTCACTGGCCATCAGCTTGTTGGATCGATTCCTTTCTGTAATGAAGGTTTGTAAATCCATTAATGCCCATAAAAGTGCATCATGTTTCCTGACTAGACATAATAAAGGTTGTTGTATAATCTAATTTCCCTTTCCTGTCCTCCACAGATTCAACCAAAGCACCTGTCCTGCGTGGGCCTCTGCTGCTTCTACATTGCCGTGAAGTCCGCAGAAGAGGAGAAGAACGTGCCTCTAGCCAACGAACTGATCCGCATCAGTCAGAATCGCTTTACAGTGTCTGACATGATGAGGATGGAGAAAATCATAATGGAGAAGCTGTACTGGAAGGTGAAGGCCCCCACAGCCCTCCGCTTCATCCGCCTCTTTCACAGCCACATCCAGGAGCAGCTCGACACTGAGACGTAAGGACAGACGGTCACATCAACCTGCAGGGCTGAACCATGACTCAACAAGATTATATTTACTCTACTAAAATGTGTCTTCTCATATTTGGCTTTAAAGAGAACACTAGCCAAAAATGTTTTTAAGGCCAAAAGGCACAGTCCTATGTGAAATCATGTAGATTCATGTGACGTGTTGTAAAACAAATATAGAAATATGTTCAAAACATTACCAGTGATATGACGTTGTTGTGCTTAAGTTAAAATAAATCATTTTTGTCACTGAATTGACATGGGAAGATTGATCGCAAATCTTTTGAGCTCTGCTTCACATCCATCTTATAAATACGTTGCCATCTAGACTCTAAAAGCATTTTCTTTTTACAGCAAGAAGATACTGAGCCTTGAGAGACTGGAGGCTCAGCTGAAAGCCTGTCACTGCTCGTTTGTCTTCTCCAAAATAAAGGTAGGCCAAAATAACTGGTCTGCCAGCATTTTAACGGTGGCCTATTTCCAGTTGGAATTATATTGTATAAGATTATTTCATAATGTCAAATTGATCCAGTTGTTCTGCTTTCCTAACCATTTGATTAAAAGTCAAAAAGCTGAACCTCTCTGTTTCTCTGCAGCCATCTATGCTCGCCATGGCTCTCCTGTGTTATGAGGCCCAGGAACAACATGATCCTGAGCACACTGAGAAAATACAAGAGGCCCTGAACAGTCTGCAGCAGCAGCTGAATGTAAGCACCAGCTGTCAACAATCTTAAATATGTGTTCTGCAATTGACAACTCATAAATAATCTTTCTGCTTTTGGGAGTTATGTTTGGTCAGAGCCCAAAGATTGTTTGTGAGTATGTGTGGAAATTGGTTACTATTGCGTTAAAGAACAGACACTCAGGTGTATGGTGTGGGGTTTTTTTTTTTTTTGCAGATCAGAGACGGGGACCTGATTTGTGTGCGAGAGCTGGTTGGAAAATGCCTGGTTGAATATGCCACCACCAGGTGCACCAGGCCTAACAGCCAGAGGCTTCGCTGGACTATTTCGGGAAGAACTGCACGTCAGCTGAAGCACAGCTACTATAAGATCACTCATCTTCCCACCATTCCTGAGTCAGCTTGTTAAACCTGGAGGTACGAACAGGTGACCTTACATACAGGGGAAAATTACAGCTGTCCCCAGATGATCTTTTTTCTCTGATTGGATTCAACCTTTGTATGGTCACCCACGTACAGCTCCAGTTATTTTCCTTACAGATCTTCATCTGTGATGATGGATTTCTTTAAGGAAAAGCTAAAAATGTTATTTTTCCCTGACTTTGTTTCACCATTATTCATTCATCAAGCACACTGTATGTTACCTGCCCCAATGACAAGGAGTAATGCTTCGTCAGAAAGGTTTATCTACTGCCATCCTGCTAAGTTTTACTTTCCTGGTTGAGTTGCTTGCACAAGTGTACAGTATGTTCTTGTTAAAAATCCGTACCAAGGTGTTTGGTATTTCCCTGGAACGGGTTGCTGGTTTTAAGCTACTAAGTATAGAACCACCTAGGTCCTCAGTCCACCATGTGGAAGAGGAGGGAGAAGGATTTTGTGAACAGCAAAAATGTAACCAAGAAATCGGGCCCGAAATCCTTAACTCCCACCCTAGGTTGCTAAACTGTCCTGAATGCACACTCCTACCCAAGGTGATGATTTTTTTGTTTTTGTTTTGATACAACGACGGAGCTCTGGTTTTCTCCAGTGAAGTGAGGCTACTGACAATCGTGTCTGTATGGCTGACCATACTGTTAGAGCTGAAATGTCATAAGTGGTTACAGATGAGTTGTTTTCACCAGTTACACAGAGTGAAGTACCACATGTATTGATTGGTTTCAGTTGTCAATTATGCAGAGAACACTAAAAAAAAAGGTTGTTGCAGTGGAAATGTGGATTGGAATTTGTATTGCATTTTCTTTGCCAGTTTCCCCGTCTAGTAGAAGTTTCCTTTAGTGGTAAAAATAAAATGTGTTCTCAAATT